AGTTAAAGTAACAAGTTCTCCAGACTCAAAAAAAGACCATTAACAGGATGCATGGGTGGCTCAGTCAAGCATCTGACATGATCTCACAGTCTGAGTTTGAGCCCTGCATCAGGCTCTGTGCTGACAGCTCCGAGCCTGGAGCCTGCTTCTAAATCTGTGTCTCCCTCTCTGCCCCTCCCCCACTCATGCTCATTAGCTCACTCTCAAAAATAAATAAACATTAAAAAAAAAGACCATTAACAAAGTGATGTTTTAAAAAATGCGAAGTATACATGTTCAAAGATGAGACTAAATAAGCTTAGTAGAGCTTAAATGATTTTAAAAACTGGACAAATAAAAGCCTTATTATAAAGCAATATAAAATAAATATAAGGCATACAAAAAATAGGCTGGAGAAAATAAAAATGGGAAATAATTTTTAAAAGACATATAAAGGTAGTAAAACACTTGAAATCCTACATATGCATAATTCACATTCCTGATGAAGAAAATTGAGCAAATTTAAATATCCAGATACAAGAAAACTTTCTTGAAGTAATGAACAATCTATTAAGAAATAGCCTGATGAAGGTAAGACACAAAGAATTACAAGGACATCTGAGCAGAGAAATCAAGTCCTGTATAATGAGGGGGAAAAAATCAAGCTGGTCTCAGATCTTAGAACAAACTTCACAAGGCAGTGAAGCAAAAGGCTCTAGGGGTAAAGTTGTGAAAGGAATTTTATACCCACCCAAAGTTGTCTTTAAAATGTAAAAAGAGGGTGGAGCGCCTGGATGGCTCAATCAGTTGAGCAATGGACTTACTAGGGTCATGATCTCGCAGTTCCAGTTTGTAGGGTTGACCCTGTGTCTGGCTCTGTGATGGCAGCTCGGAGCCTGGAGCCTGCTTTGGACCTCTCTCTCTGCCCCTCCCCCATGTGCTAGCTCTCTCTCAAAATAAAACTTAAAAAAAATTTTTTTTTTTAACACAAAGGGAAAGGACGCCTGGGTGGCTCAGTTGGTTAAGCGTCTGACTTCAGCTCAGGTCATGATCTCATGTTTTTGAGTTCAAGTCCTGCTCTGTGCTGTCAGCACAGAGCCTGGAGCCTACTTTGGATTCTGTGTCTCCCTCTCTCTCTGCCCCTTCCGGACTCCTGCTCTGCCTCTCTCTCTCTCTCTCAAAAATAAACAGTAAAAAAAATTAAGAACAAAATGTAAAGGGAATATGCATTCTAATCACTTAGGAGAAAAATGCCTGACAATAAAACTCACCCAACAAGAAATTAATCAAATTCAGGATTTAGGAATAAAAAGCAGCAGTGAAAGGAATGGTAGTAAACATTTTAAAAACTAAATAAAAATGGGAAATAGTTTTAGGACTTGATGTGAACAAAATGTGTGGATTTTGTTTTTCATAATAGGAGTCCTACACTTCATTAAAACATACATGAAAACCAGGAAAAAGTAACTCCAGCCTCTTTAATGTTTTCTATAATTGCCCTTAATTTTAAGAGGAGTCTTTTAGTGGGGCGCCTGTGTGGCTCAGTGGGTTGAACATCTAACTTTTGATTTTAGCTCAGGTCATGATCCCAGTGTTTGTGAGATCAAGCCCCGTGTCGGGCTCCACACTGAGCATGGAGCCTGCTTAATTAAGATTCTCTCTCTCCCTCTGCCCCCTCCCCTGCTCATTCTCTGTCTAAAATTAAAAAAAAAAAATTAAGGAAATCTTTTAGAACTACCATAGAAAAAAATTTTTAAGTTGAGCAGTTCATTTCACTTTTTGTTAAATCCAAGTAAAATTAATTTGCTATATTTACTGAACATAGCACATGAGCCCACTTTCTAAAAACTCTTTGTATGTATGTTTGTCTATGTTTAAGAGAGATAGTTGGGGGTTGCCTGGCTGGTTCAGACAGAAGAGCATATAGCTCTTGACTGGGGATATGAGTTTAAGCCCTACATTGAGTATAAAGATTACTTAAATAACTCTGCTTTGGGTCCTCTGTTCCCCCCCCCCCCACCCTCCCCTGCTTTTGACACTCTCTGTCTCAAAAATAAACATTAAAAAATAGTATTAAAATAAACCTGAGGCGTGCCTGGGTGGCTCAGGCAGTTGAGCATCCAGCTTCGGCTCAGGTCATGATCTCATTGTGAGTTCGAGCCCTGCGTCGAGCTCTGTACTGACAGCTCAGAGCCTGGAGCCTGCTTTGGATTCTGTGTCCCCCTCTCTCCGCCCCACCCCTGCTTGTGCTCTGTCTCTGTCTTTTAAAAATGAATAAACATAAAAAAAAATTTTTTTAATAAAAAAATAAAGTAAACCTGAGGTTTAAAAAGTATTTCTGATTGATGGATGATTTCTATACTTTGTTCCTTTATTTAATACTTTTTTTAAATGAATACATTTAAATTATCCTTCACAAGGGAAAAAATTAGTTGTTCCGACTTTAAAGCTATTTTATAAGGTCACCAACACATTTGATGTATTTTTGGGGACCACAAAATGGTAACCACCTTCCTGGAGGCAGGTTGGCAATATATAGCAGGAATCCTAAAACTTTTACCTTTTTTACCTAATAATCCCATATACAAATATAAATATATATCTATATATATTCACCATGGTAGAATATATACAAAAATAGCTTTATCCCATCATCTTATATAACTTTTAATATATGAGGAAAAAACAGCAAAAATGTCCATCTGTAGGGCACTTAAATAAATTATATGGTACAAAATTAATATTCATACTTTGAATAATCTTTAATGGCAATGGAAGATACTAATCTCTCCATGTCATTAAACATTATACAAAACATTTCAAAACAATATGGTCTTAAGTGTGGTGTGTGTGTGTACTCTGAATAAAGATTGATAATTTTGGCACTTCCAACTGCTCTACAATGAATTTGAATTCACAATCAAAAACTTTTAAGTTTACAACTTCTAAGAGAAGTTTACAAACTTCTAAAACTGAGCTGCTGCTGGTATAAATTACAAACTTAGAGTATTATTACAGTTTTCCACTTGGAACAGTTTTGCCAGTTACTGAGCACTGGTAATTGCTGAAGGAGGGACAAGTGAGATACTGAAAATTACTATATAGAACACTGTCACAAAAGTAAAGCCTAAATTACTGGGCTTTATAAAACCCCCAAAATACATTTTTCCAGGTGATATATACCTCTTTCCTTTAGAAAGTAAAGCTGAATTAGGGACAGTCTCTTATTGGAGATTTAGTAATCTCAATACCTAACAGGGTGCTCAAACTCACAACCCCAAGATCAAGAGCTGCATGCTCTTAAGACTGGGTGCCTCAGAGATTTTTTTTTAACGAAAGTTTCAAATAAATTCAAAAGAACAGTAAAATGAACACTTTACATACCTCATCATCTGTTCTCCAAGACTTGAAAAAAGATTAAATACATGAACGCTATTTAAAAAAAACCTGAATGCTGAGTGTCTAGGTGGCTCAGTCAATTAAGCATCATCTGACTTCGGCTCAGGTCATAATCTCACAGTTCATGAGTTTGAGCCTCACATTGGACTCTGCTGTCATCACAGAGCCTACTTCAGATCCTCTGTCTCCCCCTCTCTCTGCTCCTCCCCCACTTGCTCTCACTCTCTCTTCCTCAAAACTAAAAACATTAAAAAAACAAAAACAAAAAACCACCAATGTTCCAAGTCATATAGGCATACCTCGTTTTACTGCACTTCACTTACTGCCCCTCAAAGATACTGAGGTTTTTTGTTTTGTTTTGTTTTGACCAATTGAGGATTTATGGCAACCCTGCATGGAGCAAGTCTATTGGTGCCTTTTTTTTCTGATAGCATTTGATGACTTTGCGTCTCTATCACATTTTGGTAATTCTCACAATATTTCAAAGTTTTGTATTATTGTATTTATCACGGTGATCTGTGCCATGGTTTTGGGTGTCACAAACCATGCCCATATAAGATAGCAAACTTAATAAATGCGTGTGTTCTGACTGCTCTACCAATCAGCCATTTCCTCATCTCTTTCTGTCCCCTTGGGCTTCCCTTTTCCCTGAGACATAATATTGAAATTAGGCTAATTTAGAACCCTACAGTGGCATCTACGTGTTCAAGTGAAAGGAAAAAATCAATCTATGTGGCAAAACTACATTTTTGTCTTATTTTAAGAAATTGTTACAGCCAACTCAACCTTCAGCAACAACCACCTGATCAGTCAGCACTCAAGTCAAGACCCTCCACCAGCAAAAAGATTATGACTCACTGAATTTCAGCTGATGATTAACATATTTTAGCAATAAAATTAAGGCATGTACATTTTCGACAATGCTACTGTACACTTAAATCAACTACAGGATAAGTGTAAACGTAACTTACATGCACTGGGAAATCAAAAAAGGCATTTGACTCACTTTAATGCGATACTCGCTTTATTGCAGTGATCTGGGACCTAATCTGCAACATCTCCGAGGTATGCCTATATTTTAACAAAAACATACACTGGGCCAGCTATCTCATTAACAGAACAAATGAGCAAACTCCACCATTTAGTAGGATTCTGAGAGATACTGAAGTTTTAATATGAAGAACTTACAGTAAATAGACCTGATCTTAACATTTAATAAATACCTTTTCAGGGCTGTAAATATGGCAGGAAAGCCCTCAACCTCCTGCAATAGATTTCAAGCATCTTCCAAGTTGGAAAATATGGCAAAAGCCCAGAGTCTCCTATTTAAGTAATGCACATCTGAGGAAGCAGAACAAAGATAATACACTGTCCTTAAAATACATTTGTATTTACTTATTCTGCAGATTTCCAAATAAATCTATAGGATCATTTAGTCCAAAATCCCTGTCAAATATGTAATTGGGAGGTTTAGACAAAACGACCTCAGCTCAATGGATAGTACCAAAAAGAGCTAAAATACTACTAACAACACAAGTTTAATTTCAACTATAATCAGTTACCACAACCATTATTGGTAAATACCATCCTGGCAAGTGTGCATTCCAGGTAGTAACAGAACTCAGAATGGATAGTCTGGCACATACTAGTACCTCAGTAAGTAAGAAATCTCTTCCCTCCACTCAAATTGCCAGTATCAGTCTCAGTGTTTAAAAACTCTTCTTCAAAAGATCTGTTTCCATTCTCTTTCCAACATAGAAGTGTGCTACCTTGGAATTCACTTTATTGTTTTGCACCTCTGTTTTCTCAATGATGAACAGACATGAAGACAGTATATGTTTCTATCAACTTCATATGGGTGTTGTGAAGATCCAGTAAAATAAAGGACATTAAAAAAGATTCTTGGTTCTCTAAGTCTGTAATTTAGAATGCTCCATTCACTGAGAGTAAAACAAATCTCTAAATTGTTACATATCTCCATGATCTAAACAACCATATGAATTAACCAAATTTGACTCTTGTCAAAAAGATTTATTAACTTAAAATAGAATTACTTCAAATACAGACGAAAGCAACTTTCTGTTCAATTTTGAATATTTTCAATATACAAGAATGTAAAAGAAAAAATTCTGAATCTTCACGTTGTAGTTTTATTTTATTATTTTTTTTTTTTTTAGCTTTTAAAAAGTTTTTGGCACTACAAGGTTCTGTAAAGAATAGAAGTGACAAATTTAAAACACATGAAAGTTTTTCCTAATTCTTAAGAACAATATATATAAAGTCTGAAGCAACCAAAGTATGAATACAGCTAATAGAAAATAAAGAATGTAATTTTTTAAATTCTCTCTTTATACAATTCATCAAGATTAAACAAAACATAAAATTCCCTTAAAAATAGGGTAATAAAATAGATGAAATTTGTATCACTCAATTTGGTGATACTAGTAAAAACTATAGTTCATATTTATATACAAATAATACAGTCTTTAAAAACAGTCTTAGAATTTAAATAAGCTATCTAAACGTGTTAAAATTTTAAATCAGGACCTGATTTGTTTTGCTTTCCATTAAATGTCACTTTTTCTGCTGAATGTAACTGACATTGAGGTACGGATACCCTTGAGACAGCAGGATTGGCTGGTTGCTGTGCATCGGTAGACCAGCTGAAAGAAAATGGACTCGCATTACTCCGACACGTTTCCTCTTGGTGGGTGGGGACAACGCTCTCTACACCGACGGGTGGCACATCTGTCTGTTGGACACAACACAGACAGGAAACTGAAAGGCTTGTGCCTATATATCTGACAACCCTTAGAATTAATAACTTGTAGCTAGTTCTCTTTTTTTCTATTTATATAGTAAAGAGGAGATAAAGCATGTAAAAACATTTCGCAGGAGAAAGAAGAGGAGAGCAGGAAACATGGGTATGTGAAAGAAAAGAGAGATGAAGGGGAGGTACCAAAGGCAACAAATTCATCAGGGAAGAATTTCAGACTCCCCCCAACCATGCCACCAGCCCACCAAGCCCTTATATGATTAATAATAACTTTTTTCAACCTTAGTTCTTTACTCAGAAGATTAAGTCCACCACAGTCAATGTTCTGCCATTCTATAATATAGGGATGCCCCAGCAATACACGGATAGTTTACAAAGGCTTAAATGAATCAAGCCTGAAACTTGCACCAGGGTTTCCCCTTAAAGTTACCATTTAATTCAGTCAGCATTTCTTGAGTGCCTTTCTTTAATTTCTTGAACTCCTAGTTTAAGTGTAGTAAGTAACTGACTCTAGTTTTTTAATTCATAGGTTAACGAAGAGCTGAGGGCCAGACTCAGACATTCCCTATTAGAATTGAAATACCTTCAAGGCAAGTAGGCTAGATAAAATGCTACAAATTCTCCTTAGTTTGTAATATTCATTACTTAGATCAAACCTATTATTGGTATGTCAGCACTAACAGAATAAATGAATTCTAATGTCATTCAAGTTCAACTAAACAAATTTTGACTATGTCACTATTCAACTCAAAAACTTCTATTAAATCCACACTACTTACTAAACATAGTCCAAAAAGTTTTTCATAATATGGCCTCAGCCTACCTTCTCCAGCCTCATCATGTACACATCTTTCCCATCCACTTCATCCTCTAGTCCTATTATTTTCTCTTCTTTTTTCCTCACTATGCCAGGCAAAACTCCTCGACTTTACATATATATTCCCTCAGCTAAGAATACTCTTCCCCTATAATCTCTAACAAATCTCTAGGAAAAACAAATCCTGTATCTCTTTCACAGTCTAATTCAAATGTCAAAATCTTGTGTGATTTGATCCTTGGTGTCCATATCTCCTATAAACTCTGCTAGGATAACATTTAACTGACTCCTTCTAAGTTCCTATCCTTGTCTATTTTACATGTCTGGCTCTTCTAAGTGTAAAGGTTTTACTTAATTCTTGCCTGAACAAGCACCTAGCACAGTGTGACACACAGTATGCTCTCAATAAAATGTTTACTGAATGCATAAAATCTCACTCCTGGTTCCTTGCCTTCACAAAGCCACCTTTGTCCCAGAACAAAACCCACCCAGCCTCTTAATGAATTTGTAAACAACGGTACCTTGAGTATAGAACGGTTTGTTGGGCTGAAATCTGGCATTTCCCTGATGCATGAAGTTTTGATGCAAACCATAAGGCCACGAAGCTGGGACAAGAGGGAAATGGGGACGTGGTGCATGTTCCCAAGGAATTGGAGGATTTAGTCCTGGAAAGCCTGGCTCTGCATTTCAACAAGACAGGAAAGACATACTTAAAATATCAGTTTGTTCATTTAAATATTCCTTCATTCCACAAAGATTTATTGAGTACCTACCACTGGACAAGAACAATGTTAAATGCAGAGGATACCAATTTTTTTAAGAATCAAACACTGTGCTCAAATTATTCATAAAAGAGACATATAAAAAGGTAGAGATACAATAATAAGTAGTCATTGCTATAAGAGATTGGTGGAAGGTGCTCTAAAGAGGGAACTAGGGGGGCGCCTGGGTGGCGCAGTCGGTTAAGCGTCCGACTCAGCCAGGTCACGATCTCGCGGTCCGTGAGTTCGAGCCCCGCGTCAGGCTCTGGGCTGATGGCTCGGAGCCTGGAGCCTGTTTCCGATTCTGTGTCTCCCTCTGTCTCTGCCCCTCCCCCATTCATGCTCTGTCTCTCTCTGTCCCCAAAATAAATAAACGTTGAAAAAAAAATTTAAAAAAAAAAAAAAAAAAAGAGGGAACTAGGGTGCCTGGGTGGCTCAGCTGGTTAAGTGACTGACTCTTGGTTTCAGCCTGGGTTTGGTTTGCGAGTTCAAGCCCTGCGTCGGGCTCTGTGCTGACAGTGTGGAGCCTGCTTGGGACTCTCTCTCTCCTCTCTCTCTGTCCCTCCCCTGCTTGCTTGGGCACTCTCTCTCTCTCAAAATAAGTATTAAAAAAAAATAATAATAATGAAAAATAAAGAGGGGGCTAACCTATTTGGTTCAAGGCTAGAGAAGGTTTTCCTAAGATGATTGACTAAACTAAATTTTAAAGCACAAGGAATTGTTAGGCAAAACAGGGCAAAGAGGGCATTTTAAACAGAAGGAATAACAAGTACAATAGCCAGGAAACAGGACAGTACAGCAAGTTTGGGAAGCTGCAAAAACAATCAGCAGTACCACTAAGGAGTAAAAGGAGGCAATGAAAGAAAAAAAGGCTGGATGGATAAGGTAGGATTTACATTTTAAAGAACCTTAGTACATCATTAAGGAGCTTCCACTTTTTCCTAAAGACAATGCCACTATCCTAGAAACAACTGTATCATGGTTCAAAAGGCAATTCTATTAGAAACTGAAGCACTGCGGTGTAATGGTTGAGAACTTGGGCTTTAGAGCCAACCAGGTCAAAGTTCAAATCCCAGTTCCAAAAATTACTAAAGTTCAATTATGCACCTCTGGCTGTTGTGAGGATTAAATTAGATAACAAAAACAATGTGGCTTGCACAAGTTGTGGTATGTAAGTAGAGACTCAAAAAATAGGAGTGCTATCCATTCTATGGCAAACAACCCCCACAACCTACTTCCCTTTTAGAAGTACATCTTTCAAAGTGCATCTTTTCAAATTACTCCTAAGTAATTACTCCTAAATCTTTTGCATCATTTCTGGTGGCTTTTCTCATCCAGGGTCACAATGTGGCAGGAAATAATCTGAAAGACACTTCCCTCATTCACTAAACTTCCTAGCAGACTCAAATTAAAAGGTACTGGATAGGGAGGAGTACACAGCCAGAAAACTAAAACCCATACTAGCCATACTCTTAACAAACTCAAGTCTTCTCAGGAGGTAAGCAGAAAAACAAAGCAGCTGCTTTGCTGAAAGTTCATAAAACCAAGTTACAATTAAGAACTGAAGCTACAGGGTATATTTTTTGCTTTAAATGAGACTGGGTATATATATTAAGGTCTTGACCAACTGAGAAATGTGTTTTGACATCAAAGGGTATTTCTTAGGATATATTCCAATCTCCCTCGGCCATTTTTCACAACTAAATATTTTCATAATATATTCTCACCCAATCCTTCCATTTTCAACAAATTAGTAATTTTAGCTGTAATATTAACTAGGAGTTGTAAATCCATTCCACATATAACAATATAACATTTACTGAGTAATCATTATATAATAAAAATAATATATTATATGAATAATGTATCTACCATACATCCGGGCACTATATTGGACACGATGGAGACAATGATAGAGAAGAAACAATTCACAGCTTTAGAAGTTCAGCCTAATGGGTTATGCAAACAAGTAAACTGGCAATTTCATAAGACAAGTATAAAGATATAGATATTAAGGAAACATGGAAAAGAAAAAGGATACCTAGCACAATTGGAGGACAAAATCAACAAGAGGGGTTCCTGTTAGAAAGTGAGCTAAATTTAAAAATGGAAGATGAATGAGTCACCCAAGCTTTGGAGCAAAGCAAAAGGAGGTGAGAGTAAGAAGGAGAGATAGGGAGAGGATTTTTCCAGGCAGAAGGAACAACTTTAGTAAAACAATTAAGGGTAAGAGATAATACAGTATGTTCCTAGGATGTTAATTAGTTCATTATGACTGACAGAGATCAACTAGTGGTGGTACTGGGAAGAATAAAACTGTAAAAACTGAGCCATTGTATCAAAGGGCAAGACACTGGGTCTGTGTTCATTATATAACCCAGTGACTATCATGGTACATGTCATAGCATATATACAATAAACATTTGTTGAATGACAGAAACAGAGATCACATTAGAATGAAGATGTATGGGGTGCCTAGGTGCTAGGTGGCTCAGTCCGTTAAGCATGTGACTCTTGATTTCAGCTTAGGTTATCATCTTGCAGCTTGTAGGTTTCCAGCACCACACTGGGCTATGTGCTGACAGTTCAGAGCCTGCTTGGGAGTCTTTTTCTCCCTCTCTCTCCCCCTCTCTGTGCCCCTCCCCATTTGCACTCATTCTCTCTCAAAATAAATTAAAAAAAAAAAAAAAAAAAAAAAAAAGAATGGTCATATATGCCACATATCCTTTGATCTTGGAAATCTGAATGAGTTCCCATACTTTGACATTTCTGCTAAGCAAAATACATTATATGTATTGTTCCAAAGAGAGCAGAGGTACTTCTTCCATCATGGTACTCTAAGCAATAGCATATTTTTGTATAAAAAGTACTAAAATACTTGTGAAAATTGATAAAGGGAAAGAATCAAGCTTTTAGTCTTTTCTTATATTTCAGGATAATCAAGTAGTTAATAAGAAAAAGTTCTTTATAGAAGAATCACAAGCAGTAAATAGAAAATCATCATTTTACGACCCCTAGTAAAATAGTAATTATCAGAAATAATTATCAGTAACAACTAAAACAATTATGTAAAAATTAATGGGACACTTCATAATGGACAGAACACACTGATATCACCTAACTCATTGATCAATCTTAGATCACTAAAAGAGGAACAGTGAGAGTAAGTTCTTTTTGAAGTGAGGGAACAAGAAACATATAGGACCAATCAAGAGATAAATTCTTGCCAACAAAAATAACCTGAATCTAATCCAGCTTCTGGACCTAACTTCCAATTTATAGGAAATATGGGGACAGAGGTACATGTTAAATAATGCCACAAAGATACAATTCAGCCAACATCAGAATATAAGAAGTTCTACAGTTTCTTTAATAAACAGTTTATATGGGGGAAAAAATAGTGAAGAGAAAGTATTACATATTAAAGGAGACTTAAGAAATAAAATAAGCATACACTTATAATGTAAGGGCTTTGTTTGAATCCTGATTCAAATAAATCAACAATAACAGTAATTTTAGAAAAAGAATAAAAATGAACAGGTATTAGGTGATACGGGGTATGGTAATGGTCTTGTGATTTTTTTTTTTAAAGAGATACAAACAGGTTTATAAGGAAATTTGATCCAATGTCTGAGATTTGATTAAATACTAAAGCCAAAAGAATTTTTTAAATGAGGTAAAGGGGTCAAAGAATAGCAAATATTGGTAACTGTTAAAAGCTGGGTAACAGGGTGCTTGTCCTACTTTAAAACTCCCTCCTTCTGTGTACATTTCAAAAAAGTTTTTAAAATAAAAATATAATCAACTAAAACGATGAATATTAAACAAGATTTATGGTATATGTATTTTTAATTATGCAAATATTTAAAAAATGGATGGTAACACACCTAAGTATTACTTGGCAATTATGTCTAGGAATTGAGATTATGGATTATCTTTTATTTTTCAAATGTCCTATAATGAAAATGTATTACTTACATATCAGAAAAAACTAGTAGTTTTTAATGCTACAAAGTGCTAGTAATAGCTTTTTAAAGAATTGCTCCTTACTTATTAGTAAGAATTGTTTCTTACTAGGGCAAAGAACAAAGTTTTGAAGAAAGAAATTGATATAAAACTTGGATCTACTATGATTAATTACAAGAGCATGATAGTAAGTTACTTAACCCTATAGTTTCCTAAATTATAAAATGAGTGCCAGTAATGCACCAAGCAGGATTGCAGTGAAACTTTAAAATAATCATAAAGTTGACTTTTAAAAACTGAGAACAAACTGAGGGTTGATGGGGGTGGGAGGGAGGGGAGGGTGGGTGATGGGTATTGAAGAGGGCATCTTTTGGGATGAGCACTGGGTGTTGTATGGAAACCAATTTGACAATAAATTTCATATATTAAAAATATATATATATATAATAAAACAAAATAAAATAATCATAAAGTGACATTTATGTATATTACCTCATTTAATATTCACAACATCCCTGTGAGTTAGATGCTATTAATATCCTTATTTTACAGATGAAATCAATGCATAAAGAGATTAAGCAACTGCCTAATCCCACATAATAAATGGCAGAGCCAGGATTCAAATCTAGGCAGTCTGAATCCATAGCCCATATGCTGTATCTAATCCTATACTTGCCCCTCTGTAAATATTTCCTCACTTTTATTTCCCCCAGTTCAACCAATAAACCCAACCACCCAACCTTTCTACAGACATATACAAAAGAAGAAAAGGAAGGGTTACCCGAATTTCCCACTGTACCATTGTTCACCAGGGAATTTGGAGCCACAGTACGAGGCCAGTGTCCATCATGAGAGGAGTTAGGGATCGCCACAGGTCTGGCAGCAGGCTGTGCAAAGATGATGCTGGGATCGTTCAGGCCAATATTGCTGGGGGCACTGCCTGGTGCAGAGTGGATCACTGGGCCGTGAATAGGCCAGGACGGGGCAGGGATCTGGAGAGGGTGCATTGGCAACAGTCCCATATTGTGCATGGGAGAATACTGAGCTGGTGGTGACTGGGGAAAGTTATACATAGGCATCTGGACCTGATGTGGGGGCTGGGCTCCCTGCTGAGGTGGGCCAAGCTTGGGTTGGGATCCTGGCTGGGATGGAGACTGGGTAATGGCAGCTGACTGGGATGAATTCTGTGGAAATGGTTGGGGCTGAGGAGAATAAGATGGTGAATCAGACTGCAAAGAGAAAAAGATAACATTTTAAAATTAATTTTAAAACATCTTACTATTATAAAAGCAGAGATAATCAAAATACAAAATTATGGAGTTATTTCATTAGAACATTATAAACAGAACTCTATAATGTGTATAATAAACAATAATAGAGCCTCATTTTACATGAAAATAGAATTTTCTTCAAGATCCTCAAACTCTCTCTGACATATGTACTACCCTACAAACCCTTTCACTATCCAAAGAAAAAAGACCCCAGACGTCATTCCCATCATGCAGAACCCACATTTCCAACTGTAACTAGAAACTTATATCTAAATATCTCACAGCCACTTTGATTCAGTCCCTCAACAAGTGTTGATTACGTCTGGGCATTGTTTTAGGTGTTAGAAATACAACACTAACATATATGCCCTCATGGAACTTAAAGTTTATGGGGAAAAGGAAGAAGAGCACATGAAGATTACACAAGCAATCAAAATAAATTAAAATGATTACTATGATAAAGAATGTATAATGTATAGTGTATAAGGAAATCCCAAAGCAGGAACACCTAAAAGTACTTTGGGAAGAGAGAAAGATGAATGAAAGTGGAAATCAAGGAGAGCTTCCCAAAGGAAGCTGAGACTCAAGGGTAATAGAACTCAGTCTGATAAAAGAGAATAGGGATAAGGGGAAGGAAAGAGTGTTTTGAGCAGAGAAAACAACATGACTGAAGGTCTTTAGGCTCATGAACACCTGGCTTTTTTAAGTAATGGGATTGTGAAATAAGTTTAATATTACTGGAGTACAAAGGCAGGGGAACAGCAGATTTGAGGTTAAGAACCAATGAGGGGCAAGATAATGAAGGGTACTACAGCCCTTGTAGTTAAGACTTTATCCTGAGGGCACTGGAAAATGACCAAAGGGTTTTAAGTGGGTCAGGAACACCATCAATATGTGTTTTAGAAAAAATTATTCTGGCTTAACAGGAATGAAACAGAAAATATTAGGGGGGAAAAAACACTAATGATACTGATTAAAAGGCTGCTACAATAAATAGTCCTGAGATGATGGTAAGCTAGGCTACAAAATAGGGACAGGGAAGCAAATGGCTGTGAGCTCTTTTTTATAGGTAGAAACAACAGGATTTGGTGACTGATTTGGATGTGTGAATTGAGGGAGAGGAGTAGTTCTGGAAACCAGAGAATAGGATCATTCAATGAGATGGAGAACACAGGAGCAAGAAGAGGCCAGTCTAGGGATTTGGAGAAAAATGTTACATTCCAGACATTTTGAAGTTAAAATGCTTTGTGAGACATCAGAACAGCAGTGTCCATTAGGCTCTTATCCAAATATCAGGTAACAAAAAAGTGAGTGTTGGAAGCAAAGGGTAGAGTAGAAGCAGCACAGGAAAGTGGTTAGGGCATAGGTTTTGAAGACAGAGCCTGAGGGTTCAAGTTCAATTTACAAGTGTGTTTTGACCTCAGGCAAAAAACTTAAATCTGGTTTTTTTTACCTGTAATGTATAAATAATGAACTGAATCTACCTCATAAGTTTTTGTGTAGTTTAATTAAAATACATGTGGAAATATAAACACCAAATTAAGGATAGTAGATACATTTTAGTAGCTAGGAAGGGATGGTAGGAAGGTTTTTTTTTTTTTTTTT